AATATGTTTTGTGTTATTTCAACTTTATTACCTGCTTTCCAGTTCCACCGTGCGTGCAGTATACGATCACAAACAACTCTATGGTAATGCAATCAATAGACTTCAAAGAAAGAAATCTCCTTGTTGTCGGTATACACTTCAACGCTACAATACCACGGGTGTTACGTGTAATTGACGTTTTTCCCTTTCGCGTAGGTACACTTAACGCGTCTCCTCGCTGAATTCGCGCTTAAAATAATATTTCTTTTCATGTTTTTTTTTATTTTTCTTACCAAGTATCTACATACATCACGTCACAATGTTGAAGAGTCTCGCGTGGAAAACAGAAACAAAAAATTACCCATATTTTTCTCGTCCACTGTGTGGTGTTCAACGGAGCTTAAGCGTGTTTAATGGGACGATTTTTTTTTTTTTTGCTTTTATAGCTATATTAAAATAAGCTCACTTAAAAATATCACGTGAAGTTTTATGTGCACACATATAAACAGGTTAATTAATTTCTCTCGCTATGTGACGTTTAAACGCCAATCACCGTCGACGCCATAATGTGTTGCCATACACACTACAGTCAACGCGCTTTTTAATTATTAAAACAAACATTGCGATATAATGTTACCTATTTTTATTACCTTTTTTTTTTTTTTAATGATTTTGACCCGTTGTCTTCGAGCTCCGTGTCATTGATGTCGTCGAACAAAATATAACGACAGCGAGGCAGTGCTTGGAAATAATTTCAACAAAATTATAACATAATATTATTGTGTACACACTACACGTGGTTGTTGTTTGACAAACGTCCGTTGACGACTTTTACAAACAGCCTTTGATGATCCAGCCCCGTTGATTGATTGATTATGTTATTGCACACTCGGCAAATTTGGTGATATTTAGTTTCTTCTTTGTTCGGGCAACAAAGGGTTAAAAAATGTCGACCATGTTAATTAATTTTCCGGTTAATTTGTATAAGCTTCAAGGTACTATTTTTAATTTTATTATTTTTCCTATGAGTTAAAGTCATTTTGGCTTATTTAACACCAAAAAGAAAGACAAAATTTCAACTGCTTAGGATGGTCCAATTTAACTGACCAGACGGTTTAACCGCAGCTGGGTCATCGTGCACATGAAGTGTCCTCTTAAAAAGTAATAATAAAAATATATATTTTGTTTTATACTAAAAGTAGATCGAGACAATTAATGTCCATTCTAGCATACACTCAATAGTTATACTGTATTTCTCCATTTTTCTTACGCTGTACTACCATTGATTATATTTTATAATTGTTACAGTATTTATTATAATTAACGGCTGTATACTATAAACGTATAAATCATTCAACATTCCCATACCAACATGTACATGAGTTAGGAAACAACAATCATAGAGTTCGGTAAATTGTCGAATACAATTTTGTTCAAATACTAAATTAATCCAATCATGTGTTGGCCAACTATGCGATTACAATAATGCAAAGCATTCCACCGATACCCCCGTTGTTTGCTAAACGTACTAGTTGTGTTATTAGAGATATTTTATTTTTTTAATTCACACGTGTAAATCAGTTTAGTAGTTTTCAATTACACGGCGAATCAATAATATTATTGATATTACTTCGACCAACGTCCGATTTCGGAAAGCGCAGGTCAGACAGAAAAAATATACTACCCGTGTTCTGCAAAAAACGTTGTACTAAACTAGTCGAGCAAAACCAGGAGAAAGACTTTCGCGATAAAAATGTATTACATAAGCTAAACGCAGAACGTATTGACCAACGCTTAAATTATATGATAATATTATTCAACGCGATGGAAACACAAAAGCCTCCTGTCTTCGGCCTATGTACTTCGAGTAATTTTAATCATTTATATTATGGCTGTATCGTTAATGTGTTTTATTGTTCTCGGTGTCCTCGTTGATTATTTAATAAATTAACCAGCGAGGTAATTGCTGGGAATGTTTTAGAGGAGCATGAAACTATTTCCTTAGCCACTCTAATAGCACAGGAATCCTAGTGGTTCGTTTGCAGAATAATTGAAAAATTCTCGAGCAAGCTCAATGATCATTCTGCAGGTTTTCATGGTTTTAATCCAGGACTCCTTTTAAGGAAAATAGCAAGTCACCTTCTTCCTACTTGCCTGAGCGTCAACCATACTCCCCGTGTAGGACAAGGACTTTTACGGTGTACAAGAACAATGTAAATACTCATGTTTTTATAAGGCTTAATTAGGCAAATTCGTGGAGCCGAAGTCACTCGAACCCCCCCCCCCCTAAAATTCGTTCTTTTATCTCCAGTACAGAGAAGATGCTGAACTATAAAATTTAGTTTGTAAAAAAAAACATATAGTTATTACAAATTCCTGATGTTTTTGTGTCAAAATATAATGTAGTTGTACATGAAAACGGTATTATTTATTTAAAACATATTGGATGACCCTATTTTTTTGCGCTAAACGGTATTGATGTCTCCAATAGAGTTCCAAAAAATGTTTTCATTATTTATTCCTTTCATCGTGTAAATATTTTATACGTCCGTATATCGCGTTATATATAAAAAAAAAGAAAGAAAGGTCGGGAAGTGGGAATAACTTTATCTATGTATATATATATATATATATTCTGCTTGCACCTTAATTACACAAAGAGTAGTGAAGGGCCAACGTTGGATTAGTTAAATGGAAAGCTTCGTCCACCGGCTTTTAAAAGGTTCGAAAACGTATTAAAAAACTAACCATATGGCCGGTAAGTATATAAAATTTAATATGTATAGAAAAGCGAGACAGTGTATAAAATAACGAGCTAGAAAACGCATATTGAAATTGCGACGGTTCATTTTGGCGAATGCTGTCCGTTAGCGGTAGGTTAGGTATTTCACCCCGTCGTTAAACTTAGTTTTACTTTTATTTTTATGTAAAGCTTTTATGCATTATAACCACCTATTTGGAAAACTTAATAAAGTTTAAAACTTCTTAAAACTCACCGGCCACGTTTTCCACGAAGTCGGGGACAAAAAAAAAATTAAGAAGAAAAGAAATAAGTACCACAGTACAATCTAAAGGAATTATACAGCCGCTCAATTAACCCGACAGGGCATTATATAATATTATGTTTGGCGACAAGACTAGAACGTTGGCACTATTGTTGTTTAACATAATGTACAATGAGAAGTTGCTCACCGCTTTCGGTGAAAAACCAAAAAAACTTGTATGGGCCAAGTCAAAAATGTATAATAATTATAGGACTACACTTATTGTATCAGTATCGATACGCTACACAATAGATGCTTCTGTGTAGGTATAAATTATAATATCTGACGTTTTACCTTTCTCGCAATCGGGTAAAAGCATTTCTGTACAACGAACAACGGCTTGTCCTTGTCGAATAAAGGACCGCTGCGATACTACAGAGCTAGGTGGGCAGCAAATGAAATATAGCGACAGTCATTGCCAGAAATCCCGTACTCAAGTGTTGGGCTTGCCTGCATATTATGTACATACATTTAAACAAACAATACAAAAGGGTATGATACCAGATGATTGTGTTGTTAGCACTAGAAAGTCTATTTTACAGTAAATTTTCTTTGCAGCTGTATCGCTAGATACGGAATGTTATTAAAATGGTTCGGATAATGAAAATTAACTTTCCACCATTATGATGTTAGGTATACAACACAAATGAAGTACATTTATTTATTTTGACCATTATACAAGTTGTTGTAAAAATCCACAAGACTTTGTGATCGGAAAGCGATCAATCCCTTTATTTTTAGTTTTTTTCATATAATTTTATATGTAATCAATTTTAATGATTTGTATAATATTATAAAAAATACATTAAACTTCACCAATATTTACAAAGCTGATATCGTCAAAACCATAATGATGTTTTGCTGTTTACTGCATAATAATTTCCCGGTAGGCTACGTTAATCAGATAAATATTTGTTTGAATAAAAAAAAACCTTGAAAAACCGAAGTTTCATCAAATGCGCATAAGGCGGACGTTCGGTGAAAAAATGATCGGGTACTGAGAAACTGGGTACTGTGGAAACTGGAAACGTGTTTATTTTGAGACACCATACTTTAAACAAACAGATAGCCAAAAATCATTCAGAAAATATAAGCTTCTATATTATTATAATTTTTCTTTGTTTAAAAATGAAAATTTAAAAACTATTAAAAGCAATACAGTTTATAATGTAATTCAAAATTATTCTATTATAATAATTTTTAACAGATAAGTAATGATCAATCATAAAAATATACAATTATATCAATATACCTACCAGTGGTGGATAAAAAAAAAAAAAAAGAGTAGGACACTCGAGCAATCGCTCTTGTAATGTCCATATTGTTCAATTCAAATAATTGTTTAAGTTAAATGTTCAAAATCTAAGTTTTTATAAATATTTGAAGTATTAGAAACAGAACATATTAATCTAGAAAAAACTGTTAAGCAAACTTATGGTTAAATATATAGTAAAGATATAAAATCTACTTGAACCCTAAACCATAAAAATTATACACTTCTTGCGCAAGAAGAACATATTAGCTGAGAAATAATTAATCACCACATTATATCGTATTGTTGTGGGCCAGAACTGATTACACTGGCATAATTAATGTTGCATGCAGGTACAGGAAAGGGTTGGATCCCACGTGAAACAGAACAAAGGATTTTGAAATAATTAATGTAGTCAATTGACCAAAACAACTTAGTCACATAATACGCGTTACTACCAGACATTGTTGTTGATTATGAGTTTTGTCTCTCGTAAAGTACTTATTACGATTTGTGATCTACAACAGCTCCTTGTCTAAACTACTTGTTGTATACTACCAGGAGTTGGATGTAGGGATTTTGTTAAACGGATAACTTCAGTTATTCAAATATAAAAAAAAAAAACACTATAATTTTCTTTAAAACGCTGTTATTACTAGTTACCTACTAATGTTTGAGATAGTTTTTAATTGCTATGTCAACTTAAATATGTCCGTTTTGCTTAGCAGGTAACGTGTTCGAGTGCGACTGCAATCTGTTGTGGATGAAACGTGTGGCGGCCGACACGAGCAACGAGCAGCTAAGCCGTGAACTGATGGACGCCAAATGCTCGATCAACGATACCGACGGTCCGGCCGCGGCTACTGGACGCCAGACGGCGGTGTCCGGCGGCGGCCCCGACAAGGTGGGCAGCCGCCGCGACGACAACAAACTGGACGGCGGCGGCAGCGACACGGACGACCGCAAGGAGACGGGCGGCTACGGCAGCAAGGGCGGCGACCGCAAAACGGTGGACGTCGACGGCGGCGAGGAACACGGTGGCCGGCTGCCGCCGCCGTTGGACGAATCGCAAATGGTCAGCGTGACCGACTTGGACGAGAACACTTGTCCGGGCAAGGAACAGGCCGTCGTGGACGGCACGCCGGACGCCGCGCAGAACTCGGACCGCGTGCTGTGGGAAAGCAAGTCGGCCGCTGCCGCTCCGGGCCCTTCTGTGGCTTTTGCACTGCTGCTGATGCCCTTGCCGTGGGCCACCGCCGTCCTTTTCCGCAGACGCCCTTAGGCGTGCCATTTACAACGTCGTTTTTATTTACAGTCACACACACACACATACTCGGCCGGCGTACACTCCCCTTTTAATTTCGACCCACTCACACCGCCGTGTAGCTTTTGTTTTCATCGGCATGTACTCATAATATAATAATGATAATAGCAAAATACAAACAATGTGTGATGTGTAAACGCTTCATAACGAATCGATGTCGTTAAAAAGGTTGTAAGAGCATCTATAAAATAAAAAAAGTATGAATTTTTGAAAAATTTAAATCTCGGTGCAAAAGCCTATTATTTATTTTATTTTATCTAACGGATTCTGTCGAACATTGTGGAACTTAACTTGTACATTAACGATATTTGTGTGGATTTTCGAAACGTCTTGTAAAATATGATTTGGCGCGATAGATATATACGAGATATACCTACTATAATCGCATGTAAAAGTATGCAAAACCCCGTCACGACGCTTCGGATGAAATAATATAATTACACAAATACAACACTTTCTGTAGACAACATTGTACACTGTACGTTAAAAACATTTATTATAGTCGATACGTTCTTTATGAATTTCACCTATCCGAAAATAGATTCGGCCAAAATTGATTATAACGCTATGTACATACGGCTTATTAATGAAATACTTCTTACCTAAATAGCAGTAAAATAGTATGTCTTTCGCACTATACATTCCTACTAAATTAGTAAAAAAAACTTAAGTAGTATTAAAAAAGCTACTATTATTTTTTTTTTCCTTAAACTATTTCCAAGAGTCATTAAGTACATTAAATTAGCGACGCACACTTCAATCTAACCGAGAACATAAATCTGAATTTTAAGAATTTATCGCCCACCCGTCTACTTATACATAAATTTAGTACTTGTAGATGATCATTTTTTATTTTTTGTGCGACGCTAGTTGAAGCACGCCTATACCAAAAAAATATCGTTATATTATATATTATTATTAATGTATTTTAAAGATGTTTATTTGTGTGACAGACCACTAGCTGTCGTGGACTTTAAACGCATTATTATTATTAAATACTAATGTTGTGGTCGTATATTATGTATAATATCTTCTTCTTATTCTAAGGACTATCTTTTTTTTTTTAGTAATTAAAACCCAAATTATATTTAAATAAATATAAAGATTATTATTAAAAAATATAATCTTAAGATTTGTTTGTGAAATTTTATAATACATTTATTATGTATATTGTATGAGCACAAAATATGATGATAAAAACAAGAAACGACAGACTACGGCCCGGCGTCAATAATATAATGTAATACACATAACTAATAAAATTCTAGTATTGTACTCCTTACATTTTACTTTTATCATTGTTTTCTGGTTTTTGTATTACAAAATAATTAAAACATTGATATATTATAATAATAATAATTCATTAAATTGTATAAGTATATATAATGTATATTGATGAACTAGTGTTGTGTTTTATTTCGTATCAAAGTGTTTGATGGCCATTTTTTAAATACTACCAGCTAATATCTCATGTGTGTCTCCTCGTTTTAGGAGGTTTTTCATTGACTTTGTTCAAAATAACTCTATAACTGAGAAAAAAAATCAAACGATATTCTATTTCATATATACCAATCGCTGAATAGCTGTTGTACCCGCTGTTGGTTCACTCCGTCAATTTATCTAACAACATAGTTCCAAGAGTGAATAAAATTAAAACAAATATTTACTTCATCATGCAATCTTAAGGCGCAAAGACCAACAACGCAAATATTTAGAGTAAAATTTTTCATCGCGACCCGGTGACAAACGATAATTTGTTACTTCCAGAGAGGGCGGTACGTTATTAGACAGGCCGGTTTGACAGTAAAAAAACGCCGGAGCTTCCCGAAGACGACTTAACTGACAAAATGCACACGACCACACACATTCCAAAACAGAAACTACTTTACCGTGTTGGTGCCGGGTATGTTTTACACATTAGGCAAAAAAAATGCACACAGAATTGTTTAAGCGGGCGACGATCGACGGCCGCCGAAAGAGAATACAAATGTACCCGCCGCCGCCAAAGAAAATATAGGTCTTTTTCTATTGTCTTGAGTTATTTTTTTTTTTCATTTGGTGTGTTTACAACGAACACGATACTGTTAATGTGTACATAACCTGCAAACAGTGCAACGGTGGTCTGACCCGAAAGTATTTCTAACAACATTTTCGACTATCCCAGGCTTATTATACCCGTTTGGGGGGTATAATATAGCTACAGTTAATCGTATTACAGTTTAATATACATCTTTTGTCGTTTGAATTTGGTATCAGTTTAAGCGAAATGCTATATTATACGGTAATTTACTTTTCTCAACAGGTTATTAGTTATTACCATTGCGACGCGACGTACAATATAATATCTGACGGCGTCATGTATAGGCAATTTCCCTACGTTGTCGTCAATTTACATTTATGTATACTATAAGTAGCTGCTGTTTACCCGGCGTTGTCCGGGTATTTATTTATCCCAAGACTTGAGTAGTGTATTGATTTGACACTAATATGTATCAGTTGTTTTCGATCATTTTTACATATCGCCCATTCCCACTCCCCCACCAAAAGAGTGGCTTACAGTATTCTTTCCCAGATCTTAAATCACACGTGTGATAAGAAATACAATTAGCATGTTTTGTATTTGCTTATAATTCTTGCCGTTTAAATTTCTGTATGCATTAATAAATCAAAACTTAATTATAATACTAATTTATCCTCAAACATGTGCAGTAAACTCATTTCTAAGAAAAATATTTATTTTTACTTATTTAACCGTTGTTTGGTATTACTTGATTTCTCAATGATACTTATTGCTTTCCATACTAAATCATGATAAATTATGACATAAAAATCCAATATTGCTTTGGCCATTGCTTGTTCCCGAATGGTGTCTACTATATACTTCCTAACCCATTAATTGCAATTTAATTAATTAAAATTCAATTCATCGACGATAATTTATTTAATCAAAGTTTAAATGATAAAAAATAACGAAAAAAAATTTAATAATCGCATACCTCTACTAGCAACCTATAAAATGCTGAAAAATGTCCTTAACACCAGATTTCAACACAACAACGGTCTCTGTTGGAGTAAAATTAAATTAAATTTGCACCGCTCCAGTCTTGTGCTTGTGAAAAATTGGGATCTACAGGAAATGTTTGATCTTAACATACATTTATTTTATATTTACACTCACTATTTCCTCACTCACTATTATTTCTATTTATACGAAAAACTTCATTCAAAAAACCGTTGGTAGAATTAAGAGCTTTATCTATTATATTTTAGTCTGGTAAATTAAAAAATAAGATAATAATAATTGTATTATTATGTTCAATAATTTAGAAAACAATTAAAAAATATTTTTAAAAATGTATATTATATAGCATTTATTTTTACCTATATAGTGTACCAGGAAGACATAGAAAATATTTTATAGTTGAATAATTAATTAGTTACCAACTGTTGGTACTTTATGTTCAATATAGTTATTGTGTTAAAAATGAACACTGTATTGTTTTTTAGAGAATTTCTTGGTACTACATGACTTGGTAATTTACTATAAATTAAGTTTTTTATTCGTCAACAAAACCGAATTCAGAATTTTTTCGAGACATCTTTTGAGTAAGAAACTAGGATTACCAAACTATCGGGTAGCGTACTAAGCTTTGAATGTACACATAGTTCCAGAAAAAACAACTAGTCAGTTTACAAAGCGTGTATAATCACCTTATACTTTGTAAATCTAAATAGAAAACAGTATTCTGAAGACTATAATACGTATTGAGTATAGTATAGTAAAACACAAAGCAAAATAAACAGATCGTTCTTAACAAATCTCTATTGGACATAATACAGATTAGGTACTTAGACTTTTGAAAAAACATTGCTAGTCGATACAATCTTACATGTTACACAACATGTTTAAATCGTTTACCCAAAAAATGTGCTCCACACCTTCCAGTTATAATTGAATTTCTACAGGGACTGATTAAAACCGTTGAAACTAAAACAGCACATATTGTATTTTCTATTTATACAAACTGTTGTAGAATTCCAATAGAACCGGCGAGGTCTGTCGGCGAAGCCTTTCCACAACGACCGACCCAGCGACCGCAGGTGATGTGAGCCAGTTAGATTAAACGTCAGCAACAATTATCCTTTAACGGCTTAACGGGCTTGTGCAAAGGGCAAACAAAAATATAAAAATACAGGGATGACGTGGGCAGCAGATTGAGGGTGGTTTTTTTACTCGGTTATAAAGTTAAAATACACAAACAATTTTTCCTAACGGCATTTATACTCCCGTGGCCATTATGATATTTTATACAAGCTATGAGAAGAAAATTGGTTTTTTTTGATCATGAAAAACTATTCTTCGAATTCTCCGACAGCTAATCCGTTTGGTACTTATTATAAAACTACCGTTTTCATATTACTATGTATAGATAATTATTACATTCGTGTACAACCAGCAATGATTAACAAATATAAATATGTACCTATGTTATTATAGCTGAATGCTTGCACAGGAACACGCAGCATATTAAAAGACATTTATAAAAAATTAAGGACCAGTTTTCGCGTTAGTTTGACTGTTATAATACTTTAACGGTAGCAAAAGGCAGTGGCCCGACCTTTGCCGAATTTATCCGAATTTTTCTTCTTCTACCCCAGTGGACTCTCTGGTCTGTATAATATTATTTTGTTGTTGTATAAAACCGTTGGCCGGCGCATAAATAAAACATGTTCCCCAAACTCTGGGGGGATAAAGATGCCAACGCGAGTTGCCCGTGGATTTTTTAATGCGATTTTCTGATTGTAATCCACTCGGTTGCCCCGGGGAAAATGCGCTTCGTCAACAAATCATATTGACCTTGTATAATATACAGATATAATAATATATAATTCACAATAGCCGGTTGAATATTTTTTTTTACTCTCTCGAAAATAAATATACCTACGCGGTAGTATAGATGTTGTATTATAGTAAGTAATTATAAGTAAACGTATCAACAAAAAAAAAAAACAACAGTAATAATATTGTTAAATTTTGTAAAATTAAATATCATGATGAAAAATTGAACGCAACAGCAACTTTTTTTGTGCGTTCGAAGAGTAAATAACAATTATTATTATCAAATAATAACTACGTTACACAAAAACCAATAGACATAACAAAAAGCTTTGTATCAACTAATTTGTTTATATCCTCCACTCATTTTTTTCATTTTTCGTTTAATCCGATTTTGTTTGTAGTTTGCACTTTTTTTTTCTTCAATAATTTACCTTCCGGGAATATAACGAGAAAAACTTTTTTCCTTTTACAGTCCACCGGATTAAATACAAAAATATCTAACCGTTTTTTTCCCGTTAGCGTACGCGCTCTTTTAATTAGAACAATGCAAACAAACAAGGAAAGGAAAATCCTTACCGCTGTGCACACACGAATCTAATATATAAAGTTTTCGAGTAACGCTTTATTAATCGTTTTTCGTAATGATCGCAAAAGAAGAAAAAAAAAAGTTGTCTTCTCGATGAACAATTTCTCAGAAGCCCGTCGAAAACTTATAATTCCTTCGTCAAATGTATACGTTTCTTCGTTTTTGTAGTTAAATTAACGAAAAGAAATGATTATTATTATTTTTTTAATTCTATCTGGTAACTAAGGAAAAATACTTTCTAAGTACACCAATTCGATTTATCTCATGACAAAAACAACAGCTATACCTGGAACTTATTCCATTAGTACAAACGAAGAAGCAGTGTAGTAGTGTACAGATAAAATGCCGGACATGAAAACTACTGAAAATATCCTTCCTCTGAAAAAATTAGTAAATTGATTTAAAACAAATATTTACAAACGGTTCTGTTTTTTTGGAATATTACAATATATATATATATATATATATATATATATATATATATATAGTTGAACTATATAAACAAAGACATTACAATATTTGGCTCTTTATGTAATCTGATAAGGAATTTTTCTGGGTTATTTAAAAAGAGCAATAATTAATGAAGATTTTGGAGCACAGATTTACTGTATTATTTTTAGGGGATTTTTTTATTGTAGCACAACTGTCATATTTTTTCCAGTAAAATATAATTTTTTCCGTTTTCCTTTGAAAATGTTGAGCTTTAATCAAGAATTTGGTGTTTTAACGTAGTAATAAAAGTATTATCCTTAGGTAATTCGGGACGTGGTTTCTGTATGAATTGATAACCTCAAAAAAAAAAAATCACTTGAGCAAAAATGTGCCCACACTATAAAGACAAAATAACTATAGTAGACAATTTTATAGGTTTCGAAGTGGGTTTTGAAAAGAAACACAAAGCTTAGGCAATGTATGTGAATATTTTAGTTTATCTTTGAAGAACCTATAACCGAACCGATCATTGAAACACGGTCTGACCTTATCCGTCGGGTAAACAATGAAAAGGGAACTGTAGCACGTGAACGGTTCAACTGTAAAACGCAGTTTCAGTAAAAAAAAAAAAACACGACAATATAGATGATACCCGACGGCGTCTTTGGGCTTTATATAGATACCGGATTGTTTACCAAGTAAGCAATATCTTAAGGTGCGCCACGTGTCGAATCTTTGCTAACGTTTGGAAAGACAAGCACAAGCAGTATTTTTCTATTTCAGGCTGTCGTGGTCAGAATGTATTAAAATGCAAGTCGCGTGTGTCCAAAAAATGACAAAGATATGCACCAAACCAAATCGTATTTACCGAATTGCCGAGGATACTTACCCGGAGTCTCTTTTATTGGATGGATATTATATGAAAGAATTCAAAGGCGTGGACGGCGGTCAAACGGTTGTAATCATTTTTTACGACACCGGCGGCAATCACTATAAACACCGGTATCTGTTTTATGTATTATTTATATTTCCACCGTTAAACCGAATGTTGACCTTTGGGGTTTAGTCTATTTTATTGGGCCGGTGGCAATATTTCCCAGCACTGTTGTTTTCGCAGAGTACCTAAACCGACTTTAGCCACCGGCCAGTAATATGTTTTTCTTTTATACTCTGCGGTCCTTGGATTTTTAAGGTATTGCCATTCCGATCGACCACAGGTAGGTAGGTACTACGCTGGTATTTAACTAGTTTACACTTATATAGGTACGTTTTTTAGCATCATTCAGTGCGTTAGGTAATAAAAAAAATGAAAGATCCGATTTTGTACTTTCATGATGCCTAGTTCAAATTTGATTCTCTCTCGCAGACCACCTTGTTCTATTTCACCCGGTCAAGAGAATACCAAACATATTATGTTGAATTATTCAAAAAGAATCCAAGACTTAACAGTACCTAACGGTTATACCGGGCACGTTGAAATACGTGTAGTCTTCATAATGACTAAACTAATGTGTATTACAAAAGGTATTTATGATAATAAAACAAAAAAAACCTGAAAAATATTTACCTTGTAGTAATAGCAGTAGACTACTACTACTACTAGTAGTATACATAGTATACTCTGTAGTATGTACAAGCATGGTTCAAATTGCCAAACTCGTAGTTTCAAGAAATTTTGATGAAACGCAGTCAATAGAATTATTATGAGTTCAGTGCTGTATTCACTTCGTCGTTTTTTGTACAATAGGTACAAACTGTTTACCTTTAATTTTTATACTTAAGTTTTGCAAATATTTTCAGTTGTTAGTTTTCTTCAATGCTTGGATGTTTTGTGGTTTTTTTTCAAATACGAATAATATTGCAAACAAATATAAATTATTTTATTATACATATTTCTTATTATACATATACTAGGTACTTATTATTTATTATATCACGTGTAATATTGCCAAAAAATACAAATTTTTACTTTCTACGACAAGGAGATTTCTGACATTTTGAAAGACTTCAAGAATTACTTCGAAATCAAGATATTTTTCAAATGGCACTGCTGTCGGTAAAAGAAAAATGTTTGCTCACATTCTTCAACGCACATTGCTGGCCGACGTCTCAAAATGATTGTCCGTCAACGATGCCTTAATTGTTGGTTCGGCAAAGTTTGCCGTTTTTTAAATTAATAGAATAATCAGCAGCTTATGGCATGATCTGGGGGACGACCAAATGGCATTTATAGAAGGAAAACTTGTACAAATAATTGATGATTTTGATATTGCTTTAATTAATTATACAAATACTGAATAATTTAATATTACTGTTTAGTACCTACTTTATTTACGACAACGGGGTTTTGTCGTAGGTAAGTGATTACTTATGAATATATATTTATAATATATAATTTAAGTTTGACTACAGATTTTTGAAAAAATCGTATACCGTTATGTACAATAGATTTACCATTAGTTTAATTTTCAGACTTCAAGTCCAAAAACTACAGCATAAGAATCGAAATAAAGTAAATGTTTTTATTATTTTAAGGAAAAGTGTTTTATGATATCTCGGGTTTCTACTTTACATCGGTAATAGATCTAAAGAATATCCCACACAAATTTAGAACTAACTAAAAAATTGTTTATAGAGAAGCTGTAATTTTAAGTTGAAAAATATGTAAATTTGCAATGTATTTTTATCGATTTGCAAGGAGTAGGGATAACTTGTTTTCATTTTTTAGTGCTTTAAAGTAATTTTTGGATGAAATTGTTAATCTATAGACTTTCTGTATAAACAAAATCGGTTCAAAAGTAATCGTGCAAACAGACACTAAAATTCAAATAAAACTCGGTTCTGAATCGAAACTAAAATTACATTTACATTAGCCCAATTTGCTTACAAATTCCTTTGCATTTCACGTGTTTAAACCCAACATTCCATTTAATCTCTACAGTATAATTGTGTCCTCACTTTTCAATAATTAAAATTTATCTTAAAAGCAGAAGAGTTCAAGTTCATTTTCGTAACCTTTCAAGGTTTCAATATATAAATTAAAATCCTATGCGTTTTATTATTATTATTTATTATACATTTATGTAGTCAACTCCTACATAAATAAATAATACAGATTATATAAGTTGTGACGCTAGATATTATTTTTTGTTATAATGATTGGTTAATTGTTAAAAACAAAAATTGATAATTGTAAATGTACCCAAGTACATATTACACTTGTTTACGGTGTTCCTCTTAATTACAACACATTTTTAATAAAACAATACATCCAATTGTATAAATATTAATGTAATTTGTATTTTTTCTTCTCGAGTAATTTCTAATAAATTAGATAAATAATTATAATAAATACTAAAAAATGATATATATTTAAAAAAATATACAATACATATCTATGTTCTCATATAACTTTTGTTTTGTTTTTACAATTACTTTAATAATTACAATAATGATAAAAATGAATAATAAATATAATATATTAAATACAATATTATAAAATAATTTTTGTAATGAAAATAACGTGTTTGTTTTACATAAAAAAAAAAAAAAATACAAACAAAACATGTATATAAATAACTTTTTAAAACCGAAATAAATTTTTAAAAACAAAATAAAAAAAAACATTAACTAAATTAGTTGACAATAATTTAAAATTGTATGTATAGAAAAGAAAATAATAATAATAATTATATAATAATAATAATGATAATAAAAATAATAATAATAATAATGATGATAATAATAATAATAATAATAATAATAATAATAATGAAAAGTTTGATTGTTTTAACAACACTATTAAACATTTGTGGTACGTATAAAAATGCATCGCTCTAAGTAGATCATAAGTATTATTGTGGTTTAAAGAGAGTTCAGTGGGTAATGTTGTTCGTAGCTCTTTAATTTGAAAATAAAATGTGATGCTTTTTTTTAATGGGAAAGCAACAGATTTCATAAAGAAATAATACAACTATTCAACGATAATTTAAACGCTATACTTTCAACAATATAACGATATAATAGAAAATAGACTATAGTTTAATATTTAACTACAATAAATCACAATGATAAGTGTATTTATTAAATATATATTATAATGATGAATATATATATAAAAATAATATTATATATATAAATATATATATTACAATGGATAAGATTACAGAAAATCTTTGTCATAGAAAAAATAATAATAATAATAATAATACTTAATTTTAATGGGATGTTTTAGTGCATACTTGTGTATTTTGTCGAAAAATAACTAATTTTAATTTGCTAAAGGTGTAGTTGGTGTTCCTAAGTTGTCGATCTCCCGTTGAGCCTTTGATATTTTTACTTTGTCTTTGGGTGTACCGTCTTCTCCGGTTTCCATAGCGAACATTTTCATTTTTTCTTTGAAACTCAACTTTTCCGGTACTGTACTTCCGGCTTTGTTGGACATTTGTTGTTTCTGTTGTTCTGCTAACAAACGCTGCCTAGGATCTCTGTAACAAATCAATATAAAAATGATAAATTATTAACAAATTGCAAAACTATGGAAAAAACCTCAAAATAGTTATAGTCATACCTGTATACTTCTTGAGAGCCAATCACTCCTGGTGTATTGCAACTCGTGAACTGTACGTCTGGACTACGAGGAGATGCTAACATTGTTTCCGCTTGATCGATGAAATTCTATATAAAAAAAAAAAACATATGAAATAAATAATTATTTTATGACATTTTAGAAAAATTTTAGCACTGGCAGACATCTCAGGTCATTAGCTTTTTGGTTCTGTTAGTTTTGGTTGGTTTGGGTTCGTATGAATACATACAGTAGGGACAAGGAATGGGCGATGGACACAGCTTAACCTTGAAAGCCGAGTGACAAACGAGATAAGCACTGTGCCACACCATACCCCTATTGATGATTTATAATTAATTGAACAAAATATGTTTAAACAACATTAGAAGCTTACATCTGGATCCTCAATGATTTTCTCCAACGGTGGCGAAGGAGAAGTTGGAACAGAAGTAGGATCTTGGAACGATACACGCTTTGGTGTAGTGTTTGCATTCGGTGTAACTACTCCGTTCGGTGTTGATGTGTGTGTCAATGTTTTAGGCTGGACTTTGGTTTCCACTTGACTCATTACAGCATACGACGAACCACGTTCCGGTGGTTGCGGTGGATCATTATTGTTAGGTCCTCCCACTAAATTGTCTAGTCTTTGGGACGGTAAAGTTCCCTGTGACGACGGGCTGAACCCATAACCCGAGTTGTCCAACAATAAGTTATTTGGTGGATTAATTGATCGATTCAATCGATTAGGCGGCGTGTTATTGTTGTAAGACTGATTAAGCAGTTGCTGTTGCTGTTGTTGATATTTCAATTCTTCTTCCTGCTGAACATATTATTATATTAAGCATGGTTGTTATAAGTAAAATTTCAAGATATCGATAGACCTCTAGGCATTATTGAAATAAAAATTCAAATAAATACATTTTTATTTTTAATTAAACAAAAGTAAATACTAACTGAAAAATTACCTTATTACATTAATTTAAACACTAAATAACTTTTTATTCAATAAAAAATATATACATAAATATATTTCATAATATAAAACAATTATTGAAATAAGCTTGTAATTTAATTTTCAAATATTTATTGATTATTATTTAAATAAACAATGCAAAGGTCTGAGATGTAAGTGTTAAAATTTTTGAATTTGTATTTAAATTTTTTTAAAGGCTATAGTTAGCCTATAAGTTAGCAAGTGATTTAGTTTTTACCTTTCTCTTTAGTTTTAGTTCTGCTTCTCTCATAGCTTCCATTTCAACTTGTTTGGATTTCATTTCTTTTAATCTTCTCAGCCGTTCTTTTTCGTCATTACTAACGCTAAAACAAAAACAAAAACAACGTTAAAAATGTAATTTAATATATTAAACAACACACCAGCCAACATACCCATTAGAAGGTGTTGGCTGCGGTCCTCTAGTAGAACCATTCATATAGTTGTAATTATTGTTTGGAGTTCTAGCCACATTTGCAGGACCTCGTCTCTCGCTTTGTTGCTGCGCACTTCTCATTAATTGCTGCACTCTTTCATTAGCCTCCTGAAAAATAGAATAAAAAAATATTATTAGTACAAACAAGAAATATTAAATTAACAGTTTAACAATCATACTTGTTGATCGTCTTCCTCTTCGTCTTCTCCCTCTTCTTGGGCTCTACGTTCAAATTCCTTTTCTAACCTAAGAGCACGCAACTGTTCTTCTTGACTAACGGTCCTGTTAGGACCAAGCGCAATCAGTTCGCTTAATTGTTGATCGCGCCACAGCCTAGCTGCCTCTCGTCTGCGTTCTGCTTCTTTTTCTTTCTCTTCCCTCTGCCAAGGGTTAGTACCTTGATACTGATACTGTTGTCTGGATTGTTCAGCTGGAGTCTGATAGTAGCCACCCCTGGGAGCCTCACCCCCGCTGGCCATGTAACGGTTGGGTTCGGTACGTTGTGGACTTGTTTGATATAGAGGATGAGTCGAAGTCGGTGGAGGTGGTGGTGGCGGAGGTGATTCCCTGTAAGCGGGTGGCATCGGTTCTGGAACTGTAGCTCGCATTGGCTGATTGTATTGTTGAGAACGAATTCCTTCCTGTTGTTTCACTTGATCTACTTGATACGCAGCTGGCTTGGCGGTATCCTGGTAACCATGATAAGGTTGGTTTCGATTTGGCGGCCTCTGTTGTGTCGCGTACTGCTGTTGTTGCGGGGACATCACTCCGCTGGTTCTCATTTCCCTGCGACGCACCTCTTCCGTCATCTCTTGCAGCTTAGCGTCTTGTCTTAACATATCCCTTGATGACTGTGATCGCATTGTCATTCCCTTAATATAACAATTGACAAAATTAGTTTTCATTTTGATAGTTGTTATTAAGTAATATTTTAAATATATAAATAATATATAAAAAATAATATAATATAATATTTTGTTTTTAAGTTCTTACTTGATTCTGAACATTGTACGCATCTTTATTGGACAAGTATGCAGAAGATGGCCTGTCTTTGAAATGTTGGGAAGTATCGGCACTTTGTCGACTCTGTAATGACGACTGTGATCCTCTGAAGCTTTTTTGTAGTTGATTTGGAGTTCTAAAAAAACAATATTTTTTATAAGTTTTAGATATTTTATATTATCACACGTGTAAAATGCTATGAATTGATTTTAACCTTTCGTCGGGCGGACTTGGCATTTTCCCGGAAGGCCCGTATCCGTTGTGTTCTTGGTTCCTGTAAATTTGGTTAACATTCTGATAGAAACGTTCACCCGATGCTTCGGGCGTTGGGCTATTGTACTGTTGTTGCATTAGTAACTGTTGCTGTACGTGTTGTTGGTAAGCCGGATGCTGTTGAGGTTGGTACACATTCGGATGTACCGATGATGGTCGTTCTGGATGATAGTTACCATTCAGAAGATTTGGATTAGACGGTTGCCGAAGAGCCATTTGGGGTTGCGGACGAGGATCGTTTAAGTTTTGGCTAGACCTATTAAACCGTAATACAAATTCATAAAGATATTCTCTCTCCAACATCCATATAGTGTATTAAAATCTTAACAAAGTACTAACCGAGATCTAAGTGTATTTTGTTGTTGAAGATTATAAGTAGTTGATGTGCGATTATACCCAGGATTAAATACTTCATGTTGAGTTGGTGGCCTACCTACTGCAGGTGGTATAGTTGTGCTAGCCCCTTCAACGCCTATACAAAAAAAAAAAAATGGTTATTACTTGTTACGCTTAGTACTAATGTGAATTGTCGACTTACTATGGAGAGAAGGGACCGATTTCGAACTTTGAATTTGCGACAGATGGTGAGGTGGTGGCCCTCTGGAGCCGATGTTTTGCTGTTGTTCGGTTAATATCCGTGACGGTAGATCCCGCTCGCTCATACGTCGAGGACCTGTTTTGTTAACAAATATATTTATTATATATTTATACGTGTTATCCTTGACGTCTGAACAATAGACTAGTCGCTACAAATACTACATTTTAACAAGCACAATTAAAATACAAAACTATAATAGTAAATAAATATAATAATCATCTAAAAACGTGTAAATACTTAGTTTCATTGACATACTACTAAAATAAAATGTAAAAAAAAAAATATTTGTTTTTTAACTCGTCTGACGGCTTTATTGACAAAAACTTAACCTAGCTGCAGTGGCAGGGCACGACAAAACGATCGCCCTCTGGGATTTTAGGTATCTTGAGTTTGTGATAAAATAGAAATTTCAAAGACATCGGTTTTTATTTAAATAGTGGCCCAGGCTGATTTTTAAACCCATTTCACTCCTGCCAGATGACTAACTTTATACCATTATATAATAAACAAAAGTTACTAACAACTATATTGTGTCTAATTTTTAAAAATGATTTACATACCTTGCGACTATGAAAGAAAAGAAGTTAAACGGAAGAAAAAAAGCTTTTTTTTAAGTTGAACAAGTATGAAATTTCGTATTGTTTTGACTTTTTATTTTTAAAAAATTATTTCATACATAAATAGTACACGAATTAAACATCCTCCATCTGTTGGACTTATGAAAATAAACGTTTTTTTTAGTGCATATTATGTGCTTTTTTTATAACATGGTTCGACACGTATTTTAAATGATCTAAATAGGTAAAATACTTTCAAACATTTACATGCACAGTGGACGTGGAGGTCACAAACAAAATAACAAATTATGATTAGTAAAAAACATAAACTTAATTTTAAGGGGATTGAAAAGCGGTGGGTATCCTGAAAATAAATTGAAATGGTCGAACTTTGTTAAAACCCCTTTATTCATAAATATTGCCTAAATAAAACCACTTAAAAGTTAAAACCCGGTGGCTTTCATGTATTTAATAAGGCGCAGACGAGAATGCTTTAGACAATTAAGCTAAAATTAAAGCGGTCTAAAAGCTAGGTCACAGTATGATTATAATATATATTATATTATTTCGTCGATTTGAATGGATAAGCAATGAAGCTGAATAATGCATGCGCAATTATTGTTCTATTACTGACAGAGCAAAATGATAATAAGCAGCACAGAGTAATAAGATAAAGCGTTTGTTACATGTGTTAGGTGCTCACAGCGTATGATAATCGAGTGGCTCTGCGGACGAACAACCTGTACTGTGCGGCGACAGCGTTTCGTCTTTACTAACACGCCTGAAGTCTGCCAGCGTGAAGACGCTACTTCTCGACTCTAACTTCCTTAACCTTCTAATCCGCCTGCCTTTTAATCCGGTGCGGAGGACGCGCCGCAATCCGTCCTTGGGTTCGTCGTCGGACGATTCCAGTAGTGGCGGGACCGCAGCAGCCTGCGGCGAGTCCACGTCGTCCCGCTGATGCCTGTGAACCGCAGCAGGCAGGGGTTCCTCGTCGTCGACCAGCGTGTCCTGATGCTCTTGGTTCCAACGCAGCACGCCGCCTATGCTAGCCGACTTCATTTTCATCAGCAGCAGCTCCTTGTTGGCCAAGTACTCTTTGATGGCCTCAGTCCGACGTTCCTTTTCGGCCAGCATGCCGTACCGGAATTCCTTTTCCGTTTTCTCCACGTCCATATACGTGTTGTTCGCCTGGTCATAAACGTCCACGCTCGAGTACCGCCTGTGCGACGACCTGTACAGAGTCGATAGGGACACCGTGTCCGAACTTTTGCTGTAACCGCTGAGTCGCGTCCGGTCGGAGGCGATAGTCATACTCTGCCGACCACTTTTAACCCGCCCCCTAGGGGTTGCCGTCGTCTCGTCGTCCGAGCTCAGCGAACCGTCGAACGCCACGTTTCTTCTGGCGAACGACAACCGTCTGCTCTGGGCGTTGTTCAACGACCGCCGCTCGTTCTCCCCGTCGCTGGTCACTTCGGTTAGCACCACTCCGGCACTGCTCACTCTCCTGCCACTGATCAGATGATCGTCACTGGCGCTGGACGGCCTTATAAACACCATGCGGATCGGATGCACTTCGTAGTCGCTGCTGGACGACGTGTACGTGTCGTAGTCAAGGGCCAACCTGTGCGGGAAATTCGGTTCGGAACAATACCGGGGCGAGATGATGCCGGCCTCGCCCAGCCTGGAAAATCGGCGAGTCAGGTCGGCCACCTTGCCGTAATTGACTATTTCGTCGGTATCCAGCGAGCTGGACCGTTTGCACATCCTGGGCACTACCGCACTTAGTTGCTCGTCGCTGGATTCGCTCGACTGCACGTCGTGGCTAAAACGCCTGACCTTGGTCAAGAAATTGCCGGTGATGATGTCGTCGAGCTCGCGCAACACCTTATCCCGCTCTTCAGCCGTCAACCTGTCCGGTCTGACCGCCAGACGGGTATCGTCGACTACCGGAGCCGCGCCGGACGACAAACTAGTCCGGTCATCGTCGGACGACGACGACTTGGACGTTTCGCTGTCGTCGCAACAGCATTCGGCGTTTTCGTTAGGGCAAACGTTCTCGTTGGAATCGAACGTGGGCTCCTTGTACGTTTCCACGGCGTTGGCGTCTTCGACGTCGCAGTTGACCAGCTTTGCCTGGTGCTGCTGAAAAATGTCCTCGCACAGGCACAACTCGTTTTCCGGCGGTATCTTATAGCATTTCTTGCGCGCGTCCGGCACCGACAGGTAATCGGAATGAGGTTTAAGAAAATAGCCGAAGCGAGGTTGCAGAGGATCTCTGGCTACGACGCTGGACCTACGAACACCAACACCACCAACACCACCACCAATGATACTACCACCAACACCTATAACCCACACACAATTCACCTGATAGAGATAGTGATTCCGTCATCCAAGTTGTTATCACCTCTTCATCGCTACATTCGTGGATGTCATGCATGGATAAACTGCTTTGGGGGATATCGGCTTTCACGCGGGGTTGGTAATCAGATATTGGCCTTTCCCTACAAACGGATGCTGACAACGGACGTTGGAATTAATTTTTTTTTTTTTTTAATTTAATAATAAAATATAATGAAAAATTGATGGATTGTACCAAATTTGTAATTGTCTTTTGATGCAACCGACGCAACCATCATGCGTGTGTCATTCGTAGTTTGTTTAAAAGCATATATTAGTAATAATAATATTCTTGTACATTTTACATATTATTATTTGTAAGAATAATAACTATCATAAGGGATGTCCAGCAAATCACCAATGAAAGCAAGTCATAACATCCCAGTTATACAATATTGTTAATTATGTTAAAAAGTATTAATATTTAATATTAGTGGAATTATATATCAACAATCTTACCTCTAGTCATGACGGGTGATGGCTGAGAGAGTAACGTAGCTAAGCCATGGAGTATGGCACCTTGTTTCGCTACTTCTAGTGATACGATTGGTCCAGTGCGAACCAAATACTCGGCAGCTCTGCATATGTCAGATTTCAAAATTAAGTAAACATTCCTTTAGTGATATTTAATAAGATTCTGGTCACTTACTTTTCTTGCGTAATACCGACTAAACTTTGTCCGTCAACCTTTAATAATTGATCACCAGCTTGAAGCCTACCATCCTTGAAAAATAATAAAAATATATTTAATTAAAACAATCAATGGTGGTTTAACATATATCTCATCGACTTACTGCATCCGCTGCACCACCTTTAACTACAGACTTTATGTAAATGCCCAATCTTTCTTGGCCAGCACCCTTAAAAAAATTTGTAATTGTTACATATTTAGTAGGTATACGATATTTGATATAAAAGGAATTAATTAAATAAAATGAAAAAATAATTTCTATAAGAGCACACTACTTCATAAGACTTACTTTTGCAGCAACAATACTTAAGCCCATTCCGTTGTTCGACTTATGTAATCTTATAGTCTGGACATCAGGATCGGGAGCTTGCATGGAATATCCCCCACTTTTATTACTCATTGCGCTTGGACTTCGTGCCTGTAAATGAAAAACCAAGGTAAATAATATTTGTTCAACATTTTGTGATATTGTTGATGAAATTACATTTGGCAAGAAGTACACAGTCCATAATCCAGATGAATTTGGATGAAGCGTTAGACGACACATGCCGGCTTGTTGAAGAGGTTGGATGAACTCGATGAGACCAGGGGGAACGCCTCTGGCCACTTCATAGCTGAATCCTTCTTCAGGCTGAACAAATGTTATCATGAGTTCGTCGTCTTCTTCTAATCGTATTTCACGGCCATCAGATCGAGCTAATTCATCTGCTAAATTTTCAGCTACCTGTTTACCAAAAGAAAAAGTAACAGTTGTAATGTAATTGTTAATTAAAATAAACACAAATTAGATAGCATACCCGCACAACATTATCAATAAGTTCGTGAGGCAGTCTTGGTTCGTCGTGAGCAGGTTGATACTTGACCAATAAGGCCTTGAGTTGAAGAGAGTTGAGCTTGAAACACGTCGAAGTAATACTCGCTAGATCCTCACCGGTGTATTTTGGTGCCTATAGAAAAAAAAACCCAAATGTTTAAAATAGTTTTCAGATTTTTCAAATCTTAACAAAATTTACATGGAGCAAATCGGCGGCTTGTGAGATAAGTGCTAACTGGCAATCAGCTGATACTTCTAGTCCTTGTCTCTCGGCCCACGCTTGCAAACGACTGATACGCGATTTCAAACGAGCGCCCCACACCCGTGTATAGTAACTAATATCGGCAGTGATTAGTCGATTAAATGCCCATGAATTGATGAACCGGAATACTTGGTTATATATTTGAATGGTTAAGGACGCATTTACGCGACCTTCCCGAAGAGTTGTCATCATCATGCCCAATTTGCTAACAATCTGAAAAACCAATACATAAATCATTTATAGTTTTTTAAACAATAAGTACTACAAATATTATATACTACAAAGTGTTTAAATTGAAGAATATTAATAACAAAAGAGTGAAACATACCGAATTAGCTGGCAGATGTTCGTTATCTGCATCACTGTTCTCTGTGAAAAGGTCTGGTAGAACAACCATAAGTTCTTCGAGAATACATTCAACAATAAATCTAAAACAGTTATGTATAATTATATTAATATTCAATGTACACTGATAACAAATATTAGTTCATCTTATTTTTTATTATTTTTTCATTAACACATACCTCATGGCAGCTTGTTGTGTATCGTGTAACATTTCAATTGTTTCCATCAAAAAATTAGATAAATGACGATCACTATGCAAAAACTGTCGTAATTCAGTCACGATTGCGAGCCAAAACGAAAGCAAAGTCAAATCATTTTGTTTTCCCTAAAAAAAAATAGAAAACATGATCATTTTAGTTCACCATAATAAACACATAGGTGATCGATAGAAGAAGAATGAATATTTACCTGTATCATTGAATAAAGAATCGTTGCGACTTTGGCAAAAGTCAATGACAGTCTATTGGCTCGTTCCATTGGTGTTACATCCGGTCTATACGACGTCGATGCTCTATATCTAGCCAACAGGTACAAGCAGTATGCGGGAGCATGCTTAAATGTCAACGTTGACGGATCGACGTCCATTGTAACAGCGTGAATCCAAGCTTCTTCAGTTTCTTCTCGTACTTCAAGAACACACGGTAGAATGTTATCTGCTACTTGAGCACTGGTACGACCATATACAGCAGACATTCTTAAACAAAAGTATATAAATAATATTAATACCATTATTATAAACACAGTACAAAACAGTCGAGTAATAATTGTTAGCCACGACGACTGAAATTAAATAAATACCGATTGCCGTCTCGACTACTCGTTATCGATCGCTGTGACCTAGTGTCATCTTTGTTTCCTTGGCTAGAAGTCGAACGTGTTTCAATATTACCGTCAACGTCAAAAGTCGTCTCAAAGTTTTGTTGCAATACTGAAGAATGCTGAGTATTGTCTACAGACCCGCTAATAACGAGTTAGGAAAAAAAACAAAACAAAAATAACTAAACTAAATAAAAAAAAAATCCAAAAGCAAATCACGGTGCAAAGTTAATATCAAGCTTTAGAAATTAAACTCGGATATATATATATAAAAAAAAAAAACAACAACAACAACAGGCCATTAAGCTCATACCCGTTTTAGCGAGTATAAAATAAAATATAGTAATTACCTATCGTAATAGTCTTGAACGTTTTTCAACGAATTGGTCCGTGGTCTTGGTCGTTCATCGTAACAAGGATCCAAAAATCTAAAATTGTGTAATCTTCCAAATTTCACTATCGATCCGTTCTAAAAAAAAAACCCAAAACGTTATTAAATTTGTTTTTTTTCTACAGTTGTATTTTTAACCGGTTTTTATCTAGTTTGCCTACCTGAAGAATTGTGGTTTCGAAAATTCGTTGTCCATTGACATAAGTCTCGGCGTTTTGGCTACATGGTGTTACGGTAACAATACCCTCGGTGTGTGCTATCACACAGTGTCGGGATTGAATGTTGGGGCCACTGAGCTGTAGACATTGAGCATTACTCTGAGGCTGATTCTGGCGTTCACAACCGACTTCAGTCACATTGGGGTGGATGCGGTATCGCTTGGGATTCACCATCTCTAAACCATCTAACGGATCAAAAATTAAAATGAATAACGTATCAAAAATGTTTTTTTTTTTAATGGCGACCTATTTTGCAATAATTGTGCGCTCAGTTTTTCTGAAACCCATTTGAATAAATACGCAAGCATAAACATTTACAAAGGTAAAAATCTAAAAAGTAAATATTATAATAAGTATTCGTAACTGGCGAGGTATTGCACACGAAAATGTCGTTTCCGCGTTGATTTAGAATCAAAATTAAATGTAGTTTTTTTTTTAATATTGTTTTATATAGTTCAAAATAATACACCAAATAAAAAGCAGTCAATATTATTATTAATTTCAAGGACTGGAAAGAAGAATAAGGTCGTGTCCTATCGTTGTTGTCCACCCTGGGATGCCACGGAGTGATTGACAGTTCTCCTAACCGAAAAACAATTCAACGTTATGGTTCCGGCCCCGGTCGATGAGAAACGAATATACAATTATTTGAAAGGTTTTCCCCTCTTTGGCTTGCTCCCCCCCCCCGTCGTCTCCGTCTACTTTTGTTTTTATTGTCTTTTCGACATTCGCTTAATAACGCGGCCAAATAACAAACTGACCGGCGTTGAGCTCCAAGAAGAATGGCAGTCTATCTAATCCGTCTTCGTATCGGTACTCCAACATTTCGCTGGTGCTGTGCTGTTGGTTCCACTTATGCGTCGGTTTCTTTTTTCGCTTTCTCGGATGGTAATCTGCCGGTCTTCGTCGCACGTGGAACATTATGGAACCTAAAACAAACAAACGCCCTTTGGTTAATCGAGCATCGACGACAACACCGACAAAAGTACACTCGATTGTCATTGTTCAAAAACACGAGTCGGCTTGATCGGTTTTGGCGTACTCTATATTATAATAACACCACGGTTGACCTGTGCTAAACAGTTAAAAACAACCTAGTTTGCTTTTTTATTCAATTCCATTAAGCTTAATAATTATTTTTTAATATAGCCGGTATAGACGGGGTGTCCCGGCGACGACCGTTCACCGAACACGAAATTTACGTTTAATCATTAATAACGTTGTAATAATTATAATTATTTCGTTTACACACAAACCAACACCTACGGTATAGTGTCATTATATGTAACTGTTCGAGCGTGTTGCGTGGTTAATATATATAATATATATACACACACACACACATTCGAGGAGCTAATGCCGATAATTCCAAAAGACATACTGTTATTAATACTAGGAGATACAGCAATAAAGGATAACACAATTACCGGCTGGCACACGTCATCATAAATAACCTGGTAGCCGCCGACCTCTGGGGTCCTACTATAGCTGCTGCCGTGGCGCGTCCGTCCTACGCGTGGTCGTATAACACAACAATAATAATAATGATGATGATAATAATCTCAAACAACAGTTGCCTGCGTTAGATTGGAGAGGCTAAGTCCTACCGATGTGCCAGATATCGCACACACGAGAACTTTTATGCAGTTCACTCACGGTAACCCGACGACGATTTCTTCGCGGTCCAGCCAAAAACAACGACATCGGGTCGACGAACAGAGGTCGAAAAAAGTAAAAAATAATAAATAAATTACCCACCTTCCCCCCTACCAGTATCCTCAGTAATAACCCCGCAGTATCTGGAAAACAATAAAAATGGCCACACGCACACCACACGCGCCCCATTGCGATGATTTGTCTTTGAATTACTGTTGTTTTTTTCATTCGAAACAACTGCTTTCCTTCAGTGTAAATACGAACATAATATAAAAATTGGTCACTTGCCGTCGTCTTTGTAGAGGTTTCTTAAGTTTGTCAAGATTTTAACCGAAGGTCACTCGCGTCTTACAGCGTCATATTTTTACAAGTACATCGAAACCGGCTTGGGTTAATGTTGGGTCAGAAGTAGCTATTATATTAACTTTTTAGATCCATGGTATCAATATACAACGACTGAAAACCAGTAAATGCGTTTATGCCTCCTTTGAATGAAAAAAAAAATTGTTATTATTAATTTTCCACAGAGAAGAAGCTGCTTTTTGCAGGCGCCCTTGGTTGAATTTTATAACACTGCAAGTTGCAAAAATCATTCAATAGTATAATATACAGTTGTGGCGCAGCAGCAACGATGAAGATAATGATTTACATATTATTATTATACGAAGCATATCAACCCAATACTACTACATGAATTGGAAAAAGTCGCGTGTGGGATTTGCTCGTATGCTAAGCACGTTATACATGCAACGGCGGTTCGTATAGGCAAACGCACGGCACAGAATAAACTCGCGGTTTTTAAAAATTGGTTGACCTACATTGGAAAATGAAAAATAGTATGTGCGGAAGAAACTGACACTCAATTCGTTGCCAATAAAATAGTATTAAAAAGGGTATAAAATGAAAATTTCAACATCAAATTATGAAAAATAATGTATAAAAATAATTTTTGCTTATAAACCACAAAATGCTTACTAGCATTTTTTACTATATTTTAAAAACATAAACCATTTTTTGGCTGCACGGGACGACGACATTGCTATGAACTATTCATTTCAGTTTCAAGTTTGTAAAGGTAAAATGTAACTATTTTATTTTATGAAATTTTCCTCGTCTTTTTCTGAAATTAAACGTTCAAATGTAATTAACACACCACGTAGTTAACCGAGCAATTCGTGTATACACAATTGGATTTTTTTGTTTGTTTTTGGTCTTGCCGCCGAGTAAAAATTAATTTAAATGTTAACCGTATCAGACGTTGTCAGACATTGATATAAGACATTGTCTTATATTACCATTACACGCCCAATAAACACACATAACCTCGACTAAAACACATTTAATGGCATAACAAAAACCCGTCAATAATACAAAATAACATTTTATAACGAAGTTTACAAATGGTAATGGTCGCGCTCGTATAATAGCGATTGTACAAATATTATTACCGAGAAAAAACATTAGGTCTAATAAACCGACGTTAAAGCAAACTGTATGCGAACCTAAAAAATGTAAAACGCGTAATCGGACGTGATGAGCGTCGGGCAAGAACTGTACTTAACCGCTGTTGCGGTGTTTTTTTTTCAATGCGCTAATATAAACCGTTTAGGTTATATAGGACCGTTAGCTTTTTTTTTTCGAGACTTTTATGCTGAAACACCCTAATTGGACGGATGACACGACATAATATAATATAAATACAATATTACCAAATTTTTTTTTTACTTCACGTGGAAAACAGGCCTTTTTTTACAATTAAATTACACTCAGCCGTGGCTCATTAATTATTACACCATTTTTTTTATTTACATAACGGCGGTAAAAAATTCATGGCAACAAAATTTGGTAAAAAAAAAAACAAAACAAAATCGCCTTTTTAAAATACAAAAGTATTTTCCTCGACAGAATTTTTTCTCGCTCACGGTTAATCCGACGTGGCGTCATCATAACGAGGCGGCGGTGTAAAGGCGTTGACTATGGAAAAGATTAAGGGACGATGGCGTTGACCGAGGACTTATTAAATCTTCTAACCGCCGTCATCAAACACTCAGACGTCCTGACGACTGACCTCGCCACGCTCCAAAATGTTTGGTAAAAATAACGGTCAGAGGTTTTTGGTCACAATTGCTTGACGGCTTACACCCGTGAGTAATTGTTATGGGGGATGTTAAGCCTGGACCGAATGATTAGATTTACAATAAATGAATCGACTAAATCCCCAACTGTCTGGTAACCGTTCTAAAATATAATTAAGTAAATAAGAATTTAAAATATAATTCATAAAATACCATGACAAACGATTTACACATGCTATAGTTGTTATAATATTACACATAAAAAACTACACATAACCTTGAGAATTGTACAGTATGTTTTTTGCAATTAATATTTACTAATCGAGTTTCATCAATGGATGGTGATCTCCAAACATATCATACACTGCTAATTTGATACATTCTTATTTTTCACATACCCTATGTTTATTGTACGGATTAACCTGTATAGATTGTATGTTTTTCTAATAAAAATTATGTATTAACTTGTAATATGAAATCGGTTTTATTTTATAAAGTGTTAGTTACATTTAGCTGTTATTCTGTGCATCGAGCAGCACAATAATTGATTAGATTCTGTTCTTCCAATCATTAGGAGAACATCGTATAGAAAAGGTACTTTGAGAGGTCAAAAGTTCACTCCTTCCCATACAATTTGGCGAAATCCAAATAAAATTGTCGATTTTCAACTTGGATACGCTATAATTTCAAGAGGGAAAATGGTCAAATCGATTCAAAATTATAACTGTATCAAAAATTTTAATAATAATCATAAAAATTGTCCCGTTTCTATTTAGAAAAAAACAGTTTCGCGCCGAATCTATAAAGCAACGGATTTTAAAATCATTGAAAATCCAATTATTTAAGACAGTATACACAACCATTGCGTTGTATCTTTGAAAAATAATGACACGCAGTACGTGACCATATCGGCTATTGTACGATGCACTACAGTAGTGGATATTCAAATGAATTTTTTAAGTTTGTGCTCAGAAGCTAAAAAAAAGGTACAAAGTACAAGCGGCTGTCTTTTACAGACTTTTGAAATAATAATCAAAAAAGGCTGAACGATTACGCTACGAGCTACTAGTTTAAAGTGTAGTAAAGTAGAGATGTATTTATTGAAAGTTTATTCTAAATTAAAACTAAAATGTATAAAAACACTTGATAGTAAAATAATTTGTAAAAGCACAAGAAAAAACACATTTCCGGTCTATTCGATTTTGCATTTATCAATAAATTTAATGTTAATCGGAAATTCAGCGAACGAACCACCACAACGATTATTGAATTTATTTCACTCTAATGTTGTTCATACTTAATTAGCGGAAGAGGAGGAAGGAAAAACTACTGTTGACAAGGAAGACGTCGGCGGTTAATTGGAAGACAAGACAAAGATGAAGAAACCCTATTTACATATACAACCCCTGACCTAAATATATGTTATAATATTCATCAACCAGCAGAAAAAAATCGTCGTCTTACAGGCGGTTCGAATATTTTCGCGGCCTTTGGGTACAGCAACGACGGTCTAGAGCCAGATGAATAATTCATAAATAAAAATCGGTTTTCGACGAGGCAAGAGAAAGAGTGGGAAAAATAAAGTTTGCTAAAAAAATTGTGTTCAACGTATCCCCAATGTTATTGTATGAAAAATCCCCAACTACTAGGTTTTTGATTGCCCGTAGTTATTTTATTTTTAAAAAAACATGACCCGATACTTAGAAATTTGAATAACGAGCTTTCAAGCCAACACACCATACAACTACTATATGTATACTTGTAAATATTTATAGTCAGATTATATTATGGAGTCTATGCTGCTACCGGTCGGATCTCCGGAGGAATACAAAATATGCAATTTGTTTATACGCTAAACGACGTCATTTTTCTTGGTTTTTTTTTTTTATTAAAAATCACCTCTCCAGTACAGAAGTTAAATCGAAAACCAAAAGGCTTTAGGTCAGCACAAACAGTTCACCGTCAAAATCGAATTCACTTTCTATTCACTATTTTTTATCTAAACATTCACATACAACACACACCGTTATATAAACTCTGATATCAATATCAGTAAAGATTTTCTCGAAAAACTAGACGGTATTTAATTATATTGCTATCAACCCAGACAAACTTCGTTTTGCCAGACGTCTTTTAATGGCGGCCCACGCACTTATGCGGTTCGCAAGGAAAAAGCCGATGACGGTTGTTCACACAAA